AATACGAATTTTTACAGCAATAGAAAATATAAATTTTTGTTTTGGCTGGATCCTTCAAAATTTTGTCAGCCACAGAAATAGTGATAACTGGAATGGTTCCACCATTAAAATAAGACAATATTTTTTTTCTTATTCTGCATAAAATAACAAATCTATTGATATATAATACTCTAAAAATCCAGGCAAAAATAAATAACATAAATTTTGTTTGTAATTATATAAAATATTTTTTTATTCCGCTCCTAGGGCCAATTGGAACGAGCACCGAGACATGTGTCCAATATTTTTCTTTTTAGTATCACCAAAAAATATTTGGTTGGAATTGGTGACCCACTAATTCTAGCCTCCCCTTGTTAGTTTTACATCTATTAAGTGTGAGTTTGATATTAAAAATAAAAAAAAGTAAGTGATTTATTTTTTAATAAAAAAACAATTTGTCCAAGTCTAATTACAATAGGAATTATTTAATGTAATTGAATTTTATTTCATAACAATCACACCACCAATAGAACTAGACTTTTTACAAAATATAATTAATCATTAATAAAATATAATAAGCTTCAAGCAAAATTGCGGAAAAGTGGACCAAGTAGTCTATAGTAATTTCTCTTAGCGGAGAAAATTCTGCATTGAATTTCCTAGGCAATGTCATTCTGAGAATTAACACGAGATACCAAATAGATAAATTTCTCCGCTCACTTGAAAGCATACCACTACTATAGAATCATAGATTCTCTTTCATGGAGGGGGAGGGTATAATGTCATCTACAACTGCCAAGACATTTTGTGTGACCATCCAGTAAGGTAGATAGACACCAGAGAATAGGCCCACCCACAGCTGCATCGTATGCCATCAGGTAACAGTAAACCCTCATTTTTCAGCACCAATACACTTAAAACTTGTTCATATGAAGCTCACCATCATGCCCTACTCTACATCACCTGGGTTGACCAATTTATCTGGTATTCCTGAAGTTTTGTTAGAAAATCAGAATGGCATTATCATTCTTCACTTATCAAATAACCCAATAATCTCTTAAAACTACTACCGATCAAGGATGACAGTTCAAATCCTCTCTGTAAAAGCAATTTGCATAACTAAAATAAAAAATATCTAATATAAATATCACGTGTGCAATTATGTTAATTATAATACATTCCTGGTCATGGTAAAAAAAAATTAAAGCTTTCCAATAATTTATTGTCATTTTCGCTATTCTAAATATTCTAAAAACATGGGTTCTTTTAGCTGACAGGATATCAAATCAAATAATTTTTTTACGCAACTTTAGATAAATCTCAACTTATTATGCAATAAACACTCAACTTAAAAAAACCCAAAACTTAAATCTCCTACTTTTCCACTGAAAATTGTACCTTTGCTTATAAGAACTTTTTTGAAGTTCTTGATGTCTGCTATCATGTGTTTAAGTATTTCTCTCTACTTACAGATCATCCTATATATCATGTTACTGATTGTAACAGAATTCAAAATTTTATCTTGACTAAAATGTAAATTATGTTATTGAATACCCATTTTTCCAGTGCTGCCACATTTAATTTTAACTAAACTACCTATTAATAAACTAAATCTATATCTTAAACAACAAAATTAAACTTCTAAACTAAAATATGTCTAATAAAATAAGAAAATTTGACAGTTTTGAGGTGGCCATAGAGCAAGTAGGTAGCAAGGGACAAACCAATATGGCCAACCAATCAAATTACTGTATTATTAAACCACTGTACATTCGTCTACATTATTATTTAATAGTTATACACATTAGTGTTTAAAGTGATAAGTTTAGTTTCATTTTCATAGACTTATAATCGTGAGTGTATTTTAATTCTTTACTTTATTTTATTAATTTTCCTTTTTAATTCAGTGGTGATGAAAGAAAAACATGGAAATCAAGTTTGAAACTTGGTTATATGAAGATGGTGTCAATAATTTGAGGTTACTAGCCAACACAATTTTTATTTTGAAGTCAGTGGTTCCTAGTATAAAATTGAAATTTGTTTTCCTTTATAGTTATTGTTACTTTCATCATTTAAAATATGAGTATAGTTGATGATCCTTAAATGATAGTTGGACCATCTTAAAGAAACATTAACAGTTTTAGAATTTCAATTATTAGAAAAACTAATGAAAATAATATTATGTTTCAGAACTTTTGCAGCACAACAATCTATTTCTTAAAAATAAATCATGAAGAGTACCATATCACTTATTCTGGCATAAAAGAAAACTACTTTTAATTACTACAGATCTCAATAAAAATAAAGATCATCAACTATACTCATATTTTAAATGATGAAAGTAACAATTACTATAAAGGAAAACCAAATTTCAATTTTATACTAGAAACGACTTTCTTCAAAATAAAAAATTTGTTAGCTAATAGCCTCAAATTATAGACACTATCTTTATATAACCAAGTTTCAATCTTGATTTCCATCTTTTTCTTTCATTTCCACTGAATTAAAAAGGAAAATTAATAAAATAAAGTAAAGAATTTAAGTGTAATCACGATTATAAGTCTATGAAGATAAAACCAAACTTATAACTTTAAACACTAATATGTATAACTATTAAATAAAAACTACCTATTAATAAACTAAATTTACCTTTTCAGAAAGAGCTAGATAGGAACAGTGGCTGGGTAAGCTTGAATCAATTAAAACTAAACACAACAAAAACTCAGGCCATTGTTATTGGTTTCAACTCCCTCCTTAGATCCTTTGCCACCCTTCCTTATTTAATTATCAATGACCGACCTATAACCTTCACCTCCACTGTAAAAAACTTAGGTATTACCGTCGATGAGAACCTAACCTGTAAACCTCATATTGTCTAAATCTCCAGAAGGTCAATCGCTACACTTTAACTATTTCATCGTTCCTGACACCATCTTCCACAACCTATCTGCAAACTCCTCATTGATTTTCTCCCACTTTGACTACGGCTGTGTGGTATATGGTGGCCTCTCAATTGTGCTTGAGGATAGGCTGAAAAAAATCTTAAACTGTCTATTTAAATTGGTTTTGGTACTTCGAGACGATCCCATGTGTCTCAGCTGTATAGCGAGTTAAAGTGGCTTTTCCCCTCTTTCCGCCAGCAATATTTCCTAGAAAATTTCTTGTACTAAACAATCAACTCCCAGCGCAACCTTTCTATATCTACCATCACCTTCAGTCCAAACCCTCAGTCCACCCACAGAAAACAAGAACCCGTTTCTCTGACCTCTATTGAAAAAAAAAAAGAAAGAAATTAACTACCTATATAAAATGGCGTTTAAGTGATCCTTGAAGTCCTACTAAATGTAATTACTTAATTTTTTTTAATTTTAATAAATAATAATTTTTAATATTTTTTTCTATAAAACATGGTTATATTTTACCATTTTCGGGAGGGGGGCTTCAGGCTGAAAGGCCCCCCCCCCCGTAGATCTACCTGTGGGTTGAACTGGTACAAGTTTTATTATTTTATCATAGAATCATTATTATAGAATGGAATGATTAGGTAGTGAAATATTTTATTTCTTGATATACTAGGCTCTTTTCTCATCTTTGATAGTATTTATTAATAGTTTAATTTAGATTGATTTTGTATTCTCTCACGATGAGGGAACCAATAATCTGTGCCCAACTTAAACATAATTTTTAGTTAGCCAAATAAAATAACAATATATTTATTTTATATCCCTGAAATTATTATGTATTTTTAAAAATGCAAATCATAAATTTTAATTTGAATAAATAAAATAAAATTGTATTATATATTTCTGCTGACCAAACTTTTCAACCTATCATGAACTTCCTTTCCTTAACATAGATATATCTTGGATATCACTTATGTCACCTCATACAGGTGTATGAGATCAACATTTTCATAATTTAATTTAAGGTTGCTGGACTGAGCTGGTAGTGAATCTGAAAGCTACTTAATTTAGATGGATTCCATTAAGATAACATACTTTCTATTATTTATAAGTTAAAAAAATATTTTTTTTTGTATGGGTTTAATAACCTCCTACCTTCATTTTACACAAATATTACATAAGATATTGCTGTAGATCAAAGTGGGAATAATTTTAGGATCAGAATTAATGTGTAAAAAATTAAGATTTATATATTTTTTCATAATTGTAGATAATGATGAGATAATGAATCCTCAGTAAAAAATAAATATGTTTTAATCATATTAATTTATTTAATATTAGAAACAAGAAAAATGTAATCAAATTAGTCAAAACTTTAATTAAGAAATCCAAATTTAAGAGAAATAAATAAAAATACGCTAAAATATTATTAAACTTTTAATATCACAGTAAACATATAAAAGACTAGACAAGAATAATACAAACATTGTATAATTGTCTTAAATATTACAGTAATTTAATTCTACTGAAGTAAATTTTATAAAATTATATGTAATTTACAAAATTATTGTAAAAGAGTATATAACAAATAAGCTAACATGATTAAACTAATGTCCATCTTTGGAGTATAACAGGAATGTATTTGTTGGTAACAAGAGTAATTAATAAAATCGATTACCACTGGCCTTCCAGAATTCCACTGGACCAGAAAACAAATGAGGGTAATGTCAATATGCCCTCAATTTAGTGAAAAATATATATTAATTTATATAAAATGAAAATTAAACAATATCAGTGTTTAAACTTAAATTAAGAATTGATTTAACATTAAAATCAATTTCAACAAAAAAAATTGAAAAGAATTACAGACTAAAGATTAAAGAGACAAATCTCCAGAATTTCATAACATGACTGAACTATTACTATTACAGTAATCATAGAAAAAATATATGTCTGAATAATAGAAATCATAAATTATATCATGTAAAACAGGAATTAAATTATATGTAATTTAATTTTATTAAATTATATATAATAGTTAATTGTATTACATTACCCAGTCAATGCCATACTATCACCATTATGTATTTTTATAAAAGATCATATACAAACAACTTATTACAATCTTTTTTTCTTGTACTTTTTAGTATCCTTCTTCTTTGTAAACTCACTGACAAACAATTGTAACAATTCTGTAAATAACAAGGTGCCAATAAAAACACAGAATGCGCCAATCCAATGACCGATTGTGAAACCATTATCGAAGTATAGGATGCTAATAAGCAAGCTAACAAATTTCCTTAGAGTTAAAACCAGTGTACAAGATAAGGATGAAGCTTCTGTAGTCAGCTTATAGACAGATTTGATGCAAATATATCTAGAAAAACATTAAGGTAAAATATTGCACTTGAAAAAAAAAAAAAAAAATAATAACACAAATGACATTCTAGTTAAAGCAGAATAAAATTTTCTTTAAGAAATAAAATGCTACATCTCTATAGGCAGGCAGGAAATATAGTCACTGAGAGAGCATCTGTTTATCAGAGAGATTTTTTTTGGAACAAGCGCCAGGACATGTGTCCAATATTTTTAATCCAAGTTTTAAAAATAACCCATAAAATTTTGATTAAAATTGGGGATCCCCGAATAAAACAACACCTTATAAGATAATAAATCCTTTAAGTACTTCTAGATCTAATTGATCTGAATCCTATAATTTTAAGTTTCTGCTTTAAACCTGCTATTGCTCATTAACTTACGATTATTAACTCATTATGAATGTTTTTCATTATATCTTTAAAGTAATTTTTAATGGTTAAAAACCTGTTGCTTGAAAATAAGAGGGGGACCAGAAAAATGGGAATATTGTCAAAACTTCTTCATTTATCAATATTTTATCACTTCAAAGTAATTCCCATTGACTATAATTAGAGACCGGATTTCCATGTTATTGCACTTTTTATTCGCTTGCGTGTAAAAACTCCGGACCCGAATATCTATGCGTTTCAGAACCTGTAGAATAACATATTTAAATTGCACGTTTTGCCGTTTTTGGCTTAAATTGCACAATTTTGATTTTTGTTGCATTGAATTGCACATTTTTGCACTTTTGTACTAAATTAGATGATTTATAAATACTAATGTATAAGTGAGTGTGTTAATATTTATTTTACTATAATGTTCAAATTAAATTCATTATTCAAAATAGAAAAATATGAGGAAGGCAAATAATTCTGTGTGAAGCAAAAATCATATTCATTACAAAAGGAAAAAGTAAAACACAAGTAAGATCTATTCTTGGAATACAGCTTGCCTACAGTATTAGAAAAAAAAAAAGCTGCTTTCCTAGAATTAGCTGCTTTGTTAATAAGACATTTATAGTTATTGTTTTGGCTTGAATCCTCACTCACCGTTCAACCCTTCAGTACCACTTCTGGCTTTGAATTGATTTGTGGAAATTTCATTATAAAAAAAAAATTATAATGCTGAAAGTAAAATCTAGTCTCCCGTCAAAAATTAAAATCTGGATATAAAATACTCTGTTTTGAAATGTGAGGACAAAGAATTTTATGAGAAAGTTCTATACACCTTATCAATTAATCAGGTGATAGGAAATCACTGATAGATGCTCATTTGCTCATCAAAGAATTGAATGTTTTTTTGTTTTGTTTTTTGGAAAGAACATAATACCCAAAAATATTTTGTTTTGGAGTATAGAAAAACAGCTTCAACACTAATTTTTGAACACTTGAAAATCTCAAACATTACAGTCTATTTCAACAATTTTTCAAAATTCTTAAAATTTTAACAAAAATGTTTGGGAATGTATAATATTGGAAACTTCAATTCCATTCAAAAATAAAGTTTTCATTATTATTTTAATAAAAGTTATATATCTAAAATTGGTCTGGTCTATGTTGTAATATATACATAGGCACCTATAATTCTACCTTATTTTATTCTTTCAAATCTTCAATGCTCTGCGTTATTTGATAATAATCGTTGATTATAATCTAGAATTTCATTTTCAATGTTACATTTCAATTTTTTTTTTTTTTATCTCTCGGTTAACTAGAGATCTGATAAGATGTTGATGTACTAATGTTATAAATTAAACAACATTGATGATTTTACACGTTTTTAGGTGTTAATTACACAATTATATGTATTTTGGATTTATACTGCACGGTTTTGCACATTTTGAGTTTTTTACTGCACGTTTTCCAAATTTTTACTGCACGAAAATCCGGTTTCTAACTATAATGAAGTTCTCCACTTGTTTCTGCCATTCTTCAAAATCGTTTTTAAATTCACTTATTGTGATGGCCTTTAGTCCTTCTGTCAATTTATATTTTACCTTCTCCACTCTCAAAACGTTTTTCTTTTAGGTCCCTTTGTTGGAGTGTAGGGCATAGCAAGAAGTCAAAGGTGGCCAGCCAGCTGTCAAAGAAACAAAATGGCGACAATAATGCAGTTTCAATATTCAATTTATTTTTCATTCTATCAATTGAGGATGGATTCTACAATTTGAAGAATCCTGTAGAGTAATCTCTATGATGTGGGTAACAGACCACATCACCTTCTTGATTAATTGCTGGCCAAGGAAGAGTGATTCTTAATAAAATATTGAATATAAAATAGGTCATAAACAGCATCAGAGTAAAGCAGCTTATGTCCGTTAAAAGCGCCACCCCTAAATTCATATCAATTATTAATCTCACAAGTAGAGGCTTACAGACATGAGGTCACTGATTACAATGAAACATTTTTTGTTCATACTAGGTAGAAATACTTAGACCCATGTTTAAGGGTTCTTGCGGATGCATATTTTAATATTGTACTCATACTATAACTATAGCTATATAATTTTTTTTTCTAAACTGGGCAGGCATTTAAAGTAAGATTACATGCCTAAAAACTGGTCTGTTATCCATATTGGGTCCAAAAATAAAAATAAAGTATGTAATGTACTTATCATACATACCCGGATCCCATTAAATTTTTTTTGAGATAAAAAAGTTTAGATTTGTATTTCGAACCTCGAATAACTCTTAAATATGAATTTTAAGAGTAATATAAAAATATTAGAGGAGCTGAATTAGGCACTGACCATTGGTGGGAGACACTAGGATTTTAAAGGAAAGAAAGAGACATCCATAATTGTACGAAAGAATAAATGTACAGACCCTGGAGTCAGAAGAAGAGAGATGAATATATTAAAGCTAGTGAAGAGAGGCTAATGGAAATAGACCTTGATAAAAACATAGATGACCAGCGGAAGGATTTTCAAAATAGGATACTAGAGGTGGCCAACAGAGTATATGGAAAAAGAAAGTAAACATGGGCAGAAAACGGACAAAATGGTAGAATACGATCAAGTCAGTGATAAAACAAAAAAAGAAAGCCTGGAAAGAATATTTGGTAAACCGTAATAACGAACACCTAGAAGAAAAAAGAAAGGCATGGGAAGAATTTGGAAAATCTTTGGAAGGTGATTACAGGGAAAATGTAAAGAAATTCTGAAAAAAAGTCAAGTCCCTAAAAGAAAATAAACCAAAATCAGTTAGAAATTTTAAGAGCAAAGAAGGAGAAGTGCTGAACCGTTCTGGGGAAATTTTAGGGCAGATGGAGAAGACACTACACCATCTTTATAGATAACAATAGTCTTGTAGACAGTCTGGATACTCATCAAACTGATGATGATCAGGAAGTTATTACGGAGGAAGATATTGAACGAGTAGTGCAGGAAGATCAAGCTTGGGAAAGCTGCGGGTCATGATGGTATTTTCCCAAAATTCATTAAATATGGCGGCCCAGAAATTATCAAAGCTCTACAGGCTCTTTTTTAAAAGACATGGGATAGCAAGAAGATTCCCCCAGAATGGGAACTCAACATAATAATCCTGATCCAGAAAAAAGGGAGTCCGAGTGACTGTTCAAACTATAGGTCAATATGTCTCTCAGCTGTATTATATAAATTGTACACCACCATTCTAGAGCATAAACTAAGACAGCTAGTAGAGAATGGTCTGGAGGAAGAATAGGCTGCATTCCCCCCAGGTAAACAGATGCAGGACAATATCTTTGTACTCAGGAACATAATGAAGAAGTATTGGGACAAGGAAAGAAATATATATCTGGCTTTTCTGGACCTTAAACCAGCCTTTGATTTTGTTACATGAGTATTTATATGGGAAGCCCTGAGAGCGAAAGAGATACTTGTCTCCTTAATTCAAGCAGTAAGATCAACGTACCAAGAGCCAAAAGGCATCCTGAGAATAAATGGTTTGAGTTCGAAACCCTTCCCAATGGAAAAAGGAGTAAAGCAAGGAGACGGTCTTAGTCCTCTACTATTCATTATATTTATGGATGAAATTCATAAGATATGTAAGGGAAGGACGGAAAGAACTGTAATAGAGAAGTGGAGTTAGGAACAATATGAGTGCAGGCATATTTATTCGCTGACGATATTGTTCTTGTCTGTGATGAGATGAAGGAAAACTGCAGCAGGCCCTGATAGAATGGCAAGAGGAACTGTTGAGGAAGGGAATGATCATAAACTCTAACAAAAGTAAAGTTCTGGTGATCTCCAGAAAAGAGGAAGATGCACATCTCTACTGTAGTGACGAGGAGCTTGAGGCTGTCAATGAGTTCACTTACCTGGGAACGGTGGTTAGCAATACTGCCACTATTGACAAAGAAGTGTCCAGCAGAATTGGAAAAGCAAATAAAATCTATCACATCTGCAAAACAATAGTAGGCAAGAGAGAAGTCACCAACCAGGTCAAGCTTCATATCTTTAAAGCTGTGCTTCTGCTGACTCAACTGTATGGCTCAGAGAGTTGGGTGACATTGTACCGACATATTAGCCGTTTCACTGCCATAGAAATGAGATATTTACATAAAGTGGCTGAAACAAGCACTGAAAACAACCTTCCAGAAACGACAGCAGAATGCATGAGGACTTAGACCCAAGAAAGATAATGGAGGCCCAATCAAAGGGCAAAAGACCCAGAGGCAGGCCAAGGATACAGTACAATGAATATATCACAAGGCTGGGCACCGAAAAAGGAAAAACTCTTGGTGGAATTAAGACAAGGAGATCCAGATAAGGAGAATTAGGAGAAACTGCTGAGGAGTTGTGAATTCTTTAGTAAACAACATAAAAAACTAAAACAAATCTTCCATAAAATCAAGTTCAAAAATTTATATTTTTAAAATCAAAAACAAATTTATATTTAAGAGTTTTACAAAACCCTAGAAACAAATTTGAACAACTTTTCCATGACAAAAATTTACTTAGCCTACTTTATTGGAAGCGTCATTTGGTTTTTGTAATTTATTATACATTTGAATTTGTTAAATACAATCAGCCATATGTTTTTCTTATTCCACACGAAAAAATCAATTGATGTACTATAACATAAAAATCTATGCAGAGCAAAAGCAGGAAAAAATAATATAGCAAATGTTAAAATATAAAGTGGAGATTTACACATATGATAGCAAACTCTCACGTATATATTCACTTCATGTATTTATGTTTATCAAGATGCAGTAAGTATTTTCATTTCCTTTCAAGCATTTTTAAAAATTTCTGTTTGGTATAAATATTCAAATTTGGGAAACTTCAAAATCTTAAAAATAGATCCATTATCAACATGGACTATTATTATAATTATGTATTACAGGGATATATATGCTACTATTTGACTCAGTGTCAATTAGTATTGCTTCTAAGTCCTTCCTTGACAAGGCATCAGATATTTCATTACCTAACATAAACATGATATAGAAGTTATTAATTGAATATATAACTATATACTGTTTAATGCATACATGAATATACAATCAACCAGCTAAAAATATAAATATAATTAGTATCAATGGTACTCAAAATATTTAACATAAAATGGTGGTTCAATGAATGTAAATTATACTGAAACTTAAATAACTATAAGTAATAAAAGCTGTAATAACATACTGCTAGGAATAATTAGAATAAAAGGATACTGAGTTATAACATTGCCGGCTACATATAATAAGGTTTCTGGAACAGGATAATTAATGACTGGCAAATTTAGAGGTGGACTGTTCACTGCCATTATGAAATGTTCCTTTATATTACTGTATAAAATCAAGAAGGCAGGTAATGGTATAAGGTGCTAAAAACAAAAACAAAAATTATTAAGGATGAATTATAGTATACTATAATACAAAATTATACCAATTATCAAATGTTTTATATGTAAGATAATTTTATTATAATTTTTAAAGAGTCAAATAAGAATCATAGCAAAAATTAAACAGGAAATTTCAACAATGTCGCTTTGCACCGGTCATCTCCACAACATATGCTGTCCCAGTAGAATAATGTGAAAAATAGGGTACTTTTTGTCTAAGCGGCCGCTACTGACTGCTATCTGACAATGTTTATAACCTGAACACTGATAACTCCCATAACATGGGCACAAACCTCTCTTAGACATTTGTTCCACGTTACCATAGCTCCGTAGGATAGTTTCAGCTGCTCTTTGCTCCACTTTATCGTTTTCAAGCTATGGGACCACCCATAAATCAATTTTAAAGCTGTTAAAAACGAAATCCTCGAGCCCTCCAACCATGTTCCTTTCCTTATTGAAAGTTTTGTGTCACAAGTCTTACGAAAGCATCTCCATTTGGCCTTCTTGGTTAACTTCATTCGATGACCTCGTTCACACAATTTCACGTCGGCAAGTACCCCAACATTTTGAAAATACTGAATTGCCTGTTCTTCTGAAGACGGTAAATCCCATATTCTAAGAAGATCCATAATATGACGAAAATAAACGAAAAAAAAAAATGAAAAACAAACACCAAGGGGTCACAAACTAAAAAAAAATGTAAAATAAACACAAACGGGCCAAAAACTAAAAATAAACAAAAACCGGCCAAAAGTAAACAATTTAATAAGTGAACGTAATAAGGGAATAACTGAAAACTAAACAATGCAATAACTCTAAAGTTTGGCGGGATAAGAAGTGAGGTTTCAAAACGGCCGCTTAGACAAAAAGTACCAAAAATAGATAGTTGAATGGATTTTTAATTATATATATATATATATATATATATATATATATATATATATATATATATATAAAATCATCTATCTCCCACATCTAGTAATATAAAGAGTGGTGATCGTGCAAATTGATCTCAGCATTAGGTAGCTATAGAACCTTTGTTGATGAACAATATATACTTCTTTTTTCTTTTTTCTGGGAAGTTGTCTAATATTCTCAGCTATTTGGCAATAATTACTTCCAATTGGTAACAATTGAGTATATTTCTATTATCAACGTTACATGTTAACAAGTTGACGTTTCGGGATATTTACTCCCATCTTCGGAACTACAATCCCAAAAATCTTGTGGATGCAAAGCTAAAAAATTTTTTTTTTTTTTTTAGTCAAAATATAGTGCATGTTACATTACATGTTTGAATTTTGTTGTTACAATAAATTTGTAATTACCTTAATTTATTGTAACAACAAAATTCAAACATGTAATGTAACATGCACTATATTTTGACTAAAAAAAAAAAAAAATTTTTTAGCTTTGCACCCACAAGATTTTTGGGATTGTAGTTCCGAAGATGGGAGTAAATATCCCGAAACGTCAACTTGTTAACATGTAACGTTGATAATAGAAATATACTCAATTGTTATCAATTGGAAGTAATTATTACCAAATAACTAAGAACAATATATAGTTAATGAACATTTGTAATCGACTGCTGAAATAAAAAATGGAATTAAAAAAAACCATCCATCCATCATATGCAGCTTCTTATAAATAATTTTAAAAGACTGTGTTTTAGCTAATTTTAGTTTGTCTGATTGTTTTGATCTGACTGTCAGTAACCCACACCTGAGATAAATAAATACATTAATACTATAATAGTATCCCAATGATAAGAAGTGAGCTTCTGAGGTTATATTATTATTATTTGTTATAGTATGTACTTCAAGGCATTAGCTTAGTCATATAGTCGACTTTTCCAATTTCCTTAATTGACTTTAGTTCGCATAATTAGGACCCTCCTGAGATCTTAACGTATTCATAATTATAATTTTATTTTTAATAAAATTAAAAATTTAGAATAGAATAGAATAGAATAGAAAATTAAACTTTATTAAAGTCCCTTTAGAATAACAAAGATGAGTTAATACAAAGTAAAGTACAAATCTATGTACAAATTTATGTATACTTTATTTCAATTTAGCAAATACCAACTTTTTAACATTATTCTAACATTTTTTAAGAGATTTATTTAATAAACAACTTACTGTCCAGAACTTTATTTTAAATTTGCATACTTTTTATTATGGAAAATACTTAAAGTAACAAATAAATTAATATTTATTTAATAAATAAGAGTATTCATTCATAATTTGTGTGAAAATATTTCCATTCACTACTGTAAATTTAAGCGTATTCATTTTAATAAATGTGAATACAGCCGTATTCACTTTTAAAGTGGTGAATACGGCAGTATTTATATTTACAGCTGTGAATACGTATCATCTGTATGCATGTTTCTTTTTATGAATATAAATATATTCATATTTATATTCAAAAGTGCCATAAATATAAATGGTATTCATATTTATATTTTTGAATATAAATATGCCCATCTCTGAATTGAAAGACATACGGTGCTGCCATCTTTTAGAAAACAGTGAGAAGTTATTTAAGATCCTAATAAAATTTGTTGAGGTAGATAATAATTGTATACTAAAGAAATCTGATGATGTTTGGTTACCTTCACGTGCCTCTGAGACATTACATGAAATGAAAAAATATTTTTATTCTGGTACTAAAGTTCCCTAAAAATAATAATAGCATGGTACAAAACATTGGTCCATTAGTCTGGTTTGACAAAATACAAAGAGACATTTTAATGTAAATTTCAATTGCTATCGCAATCATACTGAACAACACTAGTAAACACTTTAACACTAGTACATTTTATATAGTTTGCATGTATACAAAGAAAAAGTAAATAAATAAATGAAATAAAATCAAACAAAACTTGCCCATTAATTGTCAGTGAGCAGTTGTAATTACAGAATCCAATAAGTATTACATAGGTGCGGAAGTTTGAAAATGAAATAGGTGGTGGAATAAGAGATGTTTGAAGGAATTTAAGGATGAGGACTGCAGTATGGTGATGGGTAAAGAATTCCAGGAGGTAGCACGAATGACGTCCCCTCCCCCCAAAATTAAATCCTGGATCCGTTACTGTAGGTAGGCCTTCATTTATTTGTTCTAACTATTTTATTAATTAAATGTAAACATCAACATTCATATTAAATGTTGTTCAAAGTGATTTCCTTGAGCATTAAGACATGCTCATCATCTTTCTTCAACAATAGCAGTGGCAGAATGGTGCTGGACATGTGTTATTATTTCACAAGATTCAATTATCTTTCTTCATAAGAAATTAAGGTCAGTGAACGGACTAGTATAGACTTTTTGTTTAATGTCACCCTAAACAAAAAAATCCAGTTGTGTCAGATCTGGGGAGCGTGCAAAACAAGCCATTGGTCCTGCATGGCCAATCCATTGATTAGGATATGGGATATAACTGAGCAAGTCCGGTCAATGACCTAATTCCTTACAAGAAGGGAGTTAATGTTTACATTTAATTAATAAAGTAGTAAGAACAAATAAATAGGTTTTATTTATTTCATATAACGTAAATAATTCATAACAACGAAAATCTTTGAGGAATTTTTTTTCTTGTTTTGAGGTCCTTAGTTCAGTTTTGCAGATTGGCCACTTAACCCTGAAACACCCTGTGTTTCAAATAACAATTTCTGATATGTAAAGTTTAAAACATTTTATTTTTACTTTCACTTACCTATATATGTAATATATAGTAAGGGTAAGTATTGTGATTGTGAAAATTTTTGAATCTGAGTTTTCAACGGAAATACACGTTTTGAGGTCCCCTGAACCCCGCAAAATGGTCTGTGTGTGTGTTAACAGTCTAGTTCAAAAATGAAAAGTTGTATGGAAGTGAAATTACATATTTAAGATTTTTAGGGATGTTGCAGCAACTTTTTCGTCAAAATCGGCTAACCGGAAGTGCCACTTTACTAAACACATTTTTACAATTATCTCGAAAACCGCTCTAATGATTTTGATTAAATTCATCATATCACTGTAAAATTTAGCAGTTTTAAATAAAATGTGATTATTATTCTGATTGATGTTCTCTAACAGGGCTTAAATGGCTAATTTTCAATATTAGCTTCCTCTAAAGTACCTTTAATATTTTTATTTGAAACAATTGACCATTTCACATTAATTTCTAATATGAAAAATGGTTAATTATAAAATATGAAAGAATTTGATAAATAAATTAAGGAGAAATAACAGATCGTAACGGAGAACAGTTGTAATTGGGGAACCAAAGGAATACGAGGGCACCCAAGCTCGCCCGAAAGATTAGAACACGCTTCCATACGTTTCATGACATTAATATAATACGGACTCTGACAATATTATATAAATATACATATGTGGCTTTCATAAATGTTATTGTTGGTATTATTTAATATTTAATTGCATAGATTACAGCGATATAAATATTAAAATTTGTATATATGAGAGTACTTATACAAATAAAAATATCTACAATGAAATATAAATAAATATAGAGTCTATCATTTTTTTTGCTTCGCTTTGTCTGAAAATACTTCTTTCTGCTAAGAAGAGGTGGTAAAAGAAAGTTATGTGATTCCCACACCACACGAGATTTTAAATTTTAATTGTAAGAAAAATAATTGAAAAAATTTGATAATTAATATGACAACTGTATTTTAAATTTTTTATTCCATAGCATCATCCAAGTAAACCAAAATTGAGCTGAAGGGGAGACATTTTTATATTAAGTCTATATTTTTTTTAAAATAACTTTATTGCAAAAATTTTGTTGGTACACCAATGAATGTTGGAGAGTAAAAATTATAAAAAAATTTGTTAAGAATATATGACTACTTTCAAAAAATATACTGTAGATTCGCGAACATACAAAATCCCTGACTAGTAGACATCCTGTGTAGTGTAATTGTAATGTGTCGGTAAATAATATGTAATCGGATAGCCATTTTTGAAATATTAGTGAGCCAAAGAAAGGAATTTGGAAAAGGAAAAGGAAAACAAGAGAATGGAATTTAGGATAACTGATAAGAGACCATCTAAGTTCCAACCAAAACAACAATTTCCTGATAGTTCAAGAGCCCATGAAAGAAAAATCAGTTATTTCACACCAATTTTCGATTACATTAACGTAAACTACATACAGTTCACAATCCAAATCAATGATTGCCAAACAAGGAAGGATGGCATTTAAAATGGCGGCTAATCAAAAATATTCCTGTCAACACAAAGTTAGATATGGGATATATAGATATGGGATTTCATACCTCTACGTTTTTATCCTATTTAAAATTAGGTTTGGTACTGACACAAAACAAACTCTAATCTATGATGTGTCAAGTGTTGCACACACAAAAACAATTCAATCTATGGTCGACAATAACTGGTAACTACTACTGGCAGGGGAACTAATTGCAAAATGTAAATAGGTCTTGTGGTCCTTTTTGCCAACTCCAGACAGACATTGTTCGCTTCCAGATACAACCTTTAGGTTTTCCTGGCACCCTTATTAGAGTAGGAATATCAAGATTCATTTCTAATGGCCGCTGGAAAAAAAAATTAATCAACCCCGAAGGGAATTGAACACACATTCTGAACTGGGCACTTTGGGATCCACACCCCAATGTTCTCGGTCATCAGATTCTCGTGATCAACAATATATCCACCACTGTGAGAATATAATCATTCATAACACACATACACACAATAAAAATAATACTGCCATGTATATATATATATATATATATATATATATATATATATATATATATATATATATATATATATGTGTATATATATATGGTCTGTTTTATATTCCTGAAGAAAAAGAGTTAAAAATCTGATTGATCTAGTACTTACATAAAAATTCCACTTTACTAAACAGAATTCCTACGTGTTTTTCGTTAGTTTGAGATATTATTATGAATATTTTTCTGTAAAACTAATATATAGGTTAGATCAGGATAAATCAGTAGTAAATACTGATTTTTGATCAATATGGAAGCTTAAAAAAAATCAAGAATATGTAAAAGGACAAGATAGGAAATAGATAAAAATAGTAAGAAAGGAGTAGAATATATATATAATAGCAGAATCTTGAAAGCTAGAAAATGAGGATCTAGTTAAAAGCTACAGCAAATTATTTAGTTGAATGAATTATAAGGATTAAAAAAAAAATCAAGTATATGAATATAAACATGCAGATAAACAAACAGGGTAAGTGAGAAATAGAGAGATATGATTTTTTTTTTTTAGATTACACACAACTTACAGTGAAAAAAAGAGCTTCATTTGGATGTTTGCCATACTTTTTGTATAGCCTTTCTTGGTAAATGCCTAGTAGTGATGATGCAAAAAGGGCTAATACCAGAATGAGCACACCTAAAAAGACAAATTTATAATGATTACTTTTTAATAGATAAAATGGTAGTAACATTATTTATGTATATCACATTACCATTCTAAAACTTAAACCATTTTATTATAAGTAAACATGTCAGTATTTTATGAAATAGGAACATAATGGATATCAGTCTTGGACTGTGTTATTAAATTTTATTGTCACCCAATAACATTTTACTGTAAATAGTATTTTTCTCATTGCTAATCAAAAAATTCCAGAAGAAAAAGCGATACTGTTACTTCTATTGTTTCAAAAACCCTCTATTTCTTTTTAGCTTAGACACTCTTTGATTCAAACAGTTTGTATTCTGTGTTGGTGTATTTTCAGGGCTGGATTTAAAGTTTGGATGCTCCTTGGTCCTTAGAGATTATACCACCCCTTCTTCATAGAATCAAGGAAATTTTCTTCAAGAAATAATGTTATAATATCAAAACATAGCTCTTTATCTTTATTCTGTAAATTATATATACCAGTTTCCTAAGTGTTTCTATTAAAAAAAAAAAAAGTAATAACTTTTTGCATTGATTTCTTAGGTGGTTGAGTTTGCCTAAGCTTTTTTTAGAATTTAGGATCTTTGTGCAGTAAAAATAAAAAAAGTATCTGTAATGAGAAAAAAAATAATAAAAATTTAAAATTATAATGCAATTCTCAAGAATTTAAAGGAAATTTTAGAAATAAACTTGTTTAGATTTTCTTCTTCTTCTTGCTCTATCTCCTTTGTGCAGTTAAACTTGGAGTAGTCTTGGTCCACCTTTGGTATGTGTCGCTATCATGAGCCTTCCTTTTCATCTCTCATAGGGTCGACCCTGGCTCTGTCCATATAACTATTATATGATATTTTCGGGCATATAACTAGTCGTTGCCTCCTCAGTTTGGCCTCCATCAGCCACCTAGCTCAACGCTCGCCCCCCATCCTGCAGCCATATCCCCATGTCCATATCACTTGAGCTGGGATTCCTCTATGACTTCCCTTACATGTCTAACTCCAAGGGTATCTCTAATTGTTATGTGCCTCATGCAGTCTCATCTCGTCTTTTGAGAAATTCTTCTGGGATACTCTATTTTTGGTGACATCACTCGTGAGGCATTCTTGTCCAAGATTGATGGTGAGTACTCTTCTCTTAAGCTTCTTGGACCACTTCTCCACTGCTACTTGCAGAGAATCTACATTGTCTGCTAACACCACAATGTTGTCTGCATAAACGAAGCATTGGGCCTGGATGGGTAGTATATCCAATGATTGCTCTAGAATAACACCCGTTCTTCGCTTGTATACCTTCAACATCTGGTAAGGTGATTTGATGAAAATACTTATTTCTGCTAAGAAGAGGGTGGTAAGTGAAAGTTGTGTGATGCGTTCACTGCACCAGATTTTTTTAATTCTATTGGTTATAAATAAGTAAAAAATGATAATTTAAACAGATATGGGAAAATATAGTGTCATTCAAAAAAAAAAAAAAAAAGAAGGAAATATAAATAAATAGAGCTCACCTATCGACCACCAAAAAAAGCTATTATCCATGTCTATGCCTTTTCCTTTGTCACCAGACTAAAAAAAATAAAATAACAGACCACTTAATAAAACAATCATATATTACATTAAGGATAAAATATGCATCATTCACTTTAGCCATGCCCACACCAAGTTTGCAGATCTGAGCCGAACAAAATAAAATGAGAGCAGCTCAGGACTGAGTGGTTGCTTCAGATTTAAATTTTTTGTTTAATATGATAATAGCGGAACCAGTCTTGAACAGGGAACCTTCACTATCTGAGAACAGTACGCTAGCCAATGGACTATCGCTGTCCATTTATTCTGTTTCATCAGCCGTGGGGTGACCCTGGGATCAGGAGACCCTCCTGGGGCACACCTAGCCTCTATAAAGTGGGTACCCTTAATTAATAATTAATGTAGCGGAAAATCTGGTGGTTGAGCGTGGTCTCAGTCAAATCACCTCCTTGCACAATCATTGACTAATAAACAGTACTTTCCCTAAATAGTATAGAACCCAAAACCCTTAATGGGTTGTGGTGGTACAGGTTTCAATAAGATAATATGTTGCTTGTAGAAGAGCTTTCAAATAATATTAAAAGCAACTTCATTTGTAATATGTATGGTATAATACAATATGAAACAGATTTATCAATATAATTTGAATGAACAAAAAAAGTATTTTTGTCTCCACAGAAATACTTGATAAAATACTGCAAAGAACAGCATTTCTCAGACTAAGTGCAGATTTACCTGACTAAAAAAAAAAAAAAAAAAAAAAACCTGTACCACTACAACCCATGAAGGATCTGGGGTTCAGTACTATTTAGGGAAAGCACTGTTTCTAGGTCAACGGTTGTGCAAGGAGGTGATTTGACCGAGATCACGCTCAACCACCAGGTTTTCCCCCTTAATTAATTACTTAATTTAGGGTACCCACTTTATAGAGGCTGGGTGTGCCCCAGGAGGGACTTCTGACCCAAGGTCGCCCCACGGCCAATGAAACAGATAAATAAAATTTCTGCCATGAACCGGGGTTCGAACTCGGGACCTTTGCATTGGAAGCTCAGTGCCCTACCACTGAGCTACCCCGCTCCCCTACCTGACTAAAACTTGTATAAATATGTTCTGACTATCAATTACCTACTAATTATGTAATTGACTTGAATAAGAACTGTTTACATTGATATAATAGTTTGGTTATTGTGCAGGTGAAGGAATAGGTGATGTTTAAAGAAAATGTATAGGATTGGTGGATAGAAATGAGCAAAGAATTCCAGAATGACGTAGCATGAATATTAAAGAATTTGCCAATGGATGCAGTTCAATGAGGGAATAAAAAGCAATAGGTAGAAATTGTGAATTTTAAGGACCAAGGATTTTGGTTTTAAGTACTTAGAAAAGAAAGACGAAGTAAATAAAAATGGTTGGAAAATGGAGTTTCACCATTATAACATATCTTAATGCAAAGTGACATGAAAGAGCCAAGAAAACCTAAACATGAATCTAAAAGAAGTCTTCCGTCTAATCTCAAGCCCACTGGATAATCTTGCATTCACCAGATAATATTAAATGAAACTAAGAGTTTTCATGTGATCAAACTACGAGGTGTACTCTAAAACCAAGGTCCATACAGTTATTTAAAAAAATAAGATCATGAGAAAAAGTTAAATAATTACCATTCACATCTAAACATTTTATGTAATGCTGCACTAGCTGTTCAGTGAAAATCCTATAAATTGAAGTTCGAATAACATTTGGGAATTCATTAGGCAGACCACTAATCGTCAATTGCCGATCAGTTTGAAGTTTTCAATCCACTTTATCTACGGGATCTCAAGATATACGCATATTACCCAGTTTTACACCGAGTTGAAGTGGCTTTATCCGTTCTACCGCCGTCAGTATTTCCTTGCTACCTTCCTATACCAGGCCATTAGAACATGGCGACCCGCCTATATTCTACAGATCATACATTTCAAACGCTCCTTTGAATCCCGTCACACCAGATCCCGTGCGTCCGACCTCACCGAACTGCTGTGTTTGATAAATACTTTTTAATTCAAGTTGTCTCCCTCTGGAACGCTATACCTTCAAATATTCGACAGGCAAAATCAATATCCTCTTTCTAATCTCTCCTATTCAAACACCTACTCCATTCCCAATCTGATTGATCACGAAATGCACTTAAAAACTTAAGCTGCAAATATTTCAAAGTACACCCAGATACTCTGATTATTTTGTGATTCATTGATATCTTGTTTACTAAATCACTTTCTCTGTTTATTTTATATTTATACACGTTTTTATATCTTTTTATTATCTATAATTTTATTTTATTTTTTCTGGGAAGAACTACTACGGGGAAGACTATGCCAGATACCCAATTATTGGTCGAAAGCAGGATGTTGCTCTAAATGATACATTTTAGAACATGAATTAGAAATTTGATGATGGAGCACATTATTATTAATTTTAAGCCTTGCATTCACAAGATTATTGGGATTGCAGTTCCGAAGATGGGAATAAATATCCCGAAACGTTAACTAACTTGTTAACATGTAACGTTGATAATAGAAATATACTCAATTGTTACCAATTGGAAGTTATCGTTGCCAAATAACTATAATTTTATTGTAATCATCCTGTAAATACTAAGCTGTAGTTTATGGACACACCAGAATATTAATATACTTTCTGTATTTGTAACTTGTTCTAAGGGGACAATAGTCCCAGAATAATAAAATTATTTTCATTCATTCATTCATACTATGCCCAGTTAGGGTGGCTCTTCCCCTCCTTCAGAAGAGAATACTTCCTTGGCACATTCCTTTATCAAATAATCAACAATCCTCCTATGTATACAATCTCCTCCAATTTAAATCATCTATCTACTCCCACTCCACAAGATCTCGGCCTTCTGACCTTTACACCCCTTTCCATAGATCTGCTTCATTTCAACATTCCTTTACTGTCCGCTCCTCCACCTTTTGGAATTCCATCCCACTTAAAATCCGCCATGCAAGATCCTTATCCACATTCAAAACCCTCTTATTCCAATTCCTCTTCACAATCCAATCAGATGCTGGTTAATTATGTATCATGTAACAAGGATAATTTTTTTTTCTTTTCATAAACCATTATTTTATTTTATTTTTTGTTTCTTATTTATGAATTGGAAAGATTCAGTATCACTTTTGGCCTAGCACTGAGAGATGATGCATAAAAAATAAGAGATTGTTTGTATCCATTTTTCTTTTTTTTTTTCCATCTATTGTGTATATTTTAGACATATTTCATTTCTCACATTCCTCAATTTGTATATATATATATCTATATCTTTTTCTATCTTAATCTCAGTGTTTTTTTATAGTTTACATTACCATTGCGTATTGTATAACATATATAAATAATTTATTTTCTTTAAATCAGTTTTTTTTTTTTTTTGTCGCAATTGTTTTCTCATAAAATTAATTTAATGCCCCTTCCTAATCGTATTTATCTATTTATTCTTATTCGCCGAAGAAGGAAAGGATTGCCTTAGTCTTCTCTGCATTCAACTTCAGCTTGTTAGCTCCTGCCCTAGCACAGATTCTGTTCAAGTCTTCTTGACGTTTTTTTGTGACTGGTAATAGGTCAGAAGGCGGGAAGGACAGGTACATTTGGAAATCGTCTGCATAGATATGGTATTGGTAGTGATGGATCAGGAAGGGAAGGTCATTAATGCAAATAGCAAACAGAGTAGGTGATAGAGAGGAACCTTGAGGGACACCACAGAAGATGGGAAGGGTCTTGGATGGAGGTTGACTGCATACTGGGACCAATTTGAGAGTTAAGATTAGAACCAAAGCAGGACACTGTTGGATTAAGGAAGATTTTGCAATTTAGTTAGTAGGATGTTATGGTCAACTGTAACATACACTTCGGAAAAATCTAGAAAGATGAGGATAGTAAGGTTTTGGTATTTAATGGAGTTTTGGAGGTCATGGGTTATTTTAAAGAGTGCAGATTGGGTTGAGTAGCCAGGTGGAAAGCTAGATTGGAATGGGGACATTCCTCTAGGAAGTTGGAAAGTTGATTTTAGACAAGGTGTTCCAGTGGTTTTGAAAGGAGGGAAATAGGACGGAAGTCATGCAGTGAGGAAGGGTTAAAAGTTTTATTGAAATGTCAGACTAGGCCAGTTTTCCAGGAAGATGAGAATATGGAATTTTGCATTCAGTTATAAAACAGTAGTTATTATACAACAATCAATTAAGAAATTTTGCACAATTATGGTAGTGAAAATGGAAACTGACCAGAAAATTTTATTATTCAATATCCAGGACGTTGTATCTAACATACCCTGTTGGTCAATAATAGTGTTGCCCAAATGCGAGACCGAGATGAGTCTTGGTCTTGCAAACTCAATCTTGGTCATGGTCTTGGTCTTGCGCAAGAGTCTTGCTGTTACTTATTAGCTTATTACTATAAATATATTACTGTCATTTTTTTAGATAGGAGAAACCTAAGTAAGCCCGAATGAAAAATTAGAGGAGTTAAATGCAAAAGTATATTGGTTATACCAATTATTAACATATATTAACTAAGATTGTCAAGTATTAGTAACTATTTTGACTTAATTTTTTTTTAAAAATAGATTTTTTTTACTAGTCCTGGTCTTGTTCTTGCATCAGTTAGGCGGCCTTGGTCTTGTTCTTGCAAAGTTGCAAGATCAAGACCTATTTTGGGCAACACTAGTCAATAATATTAAAACCACAATAGTTTGACAATTTTTTTAATTACACATCATATATTCATGAAATACCATTCATTAACCTACATTTAGTAAGAATAAAAACCATAAAACTGATAGGTTCCAAATAAATATTTAGACAATGGCTAATTAAGTTGAACCAATGACAGAATCAAAATGAACCTTATAAGACAACTGACAAAAAATAAAACTACCAATTAAATAAAAAAATATCTATCTATTTTAGCTAAGTAACAAAACATTAGATATTCAGAGAAATAGATAAATCTTTATATAAGAATAATTTATTCCATAGGCAATAATAATAAGGTATAGAAAAAAGAAAAGAGATAAAGTAGAATGATTTGATTAAAATGATGGATGATTAGGAAAATAATTTTTAGAAAGAATGTAAGAATTAAAAAACTTAGTAGTATTCAAAATTGAAAATTCGAATCTCATAAGAAAATCATACTTTTATAATTTAATTTAACGACATAAAGTTTAAAAATGATAATAATGCAAAATATGCTTTAAAATGGTTTACCACTAAAACAAATTTGTTTCATACTTGTTAATTAAATAAGTAAAAAATATTTTATGTATGAATTTCATACATACCACTTCCTGTCCAGTGACTATCGTGCAAATCATCACTCCAAGAGTAATGAGGCCAACTGATAAATACTTCATCCCGGTATATTTCTTATTCAAAATAAATTTACACATTGCCATATTTGTGATAAGGGATCCCTAAAAATATTCAATAGAACTTACTATGAAAATTTTAATAACATATAACATACCATTAAAAACGTTTATATTTTACTTACTGATCTAAAAATCATGTGAAGGGGCATGGAAATGTTGAAATCAAACACATAATTGTTCAAAACATTACAAGTAAAAAATGTAGCAACTATGGTTAAGTAACTCCTGAAAGAAAAATGAAAAAAAAATCATGTTAAATACTGCAATTTTTATTATGTTACAAGCAGCCTATCTTGTAATGTTATTAATAGGAACTGAATTTATACGTATTTATATATATTTTTGAAAGCTTTGTACAAACTTCTTTGACAATTTCATATAATTTAAAAGAAAATAAAGCATTGTTTATTTGACATATTTGGATGGTATTACATCTGACTTTATTTACATTTGACTTAAATGTTGGTACCATTTTGAAAGTATTCATCAATATTTATTTTCATACTAGAATAATTTACATTTATTACATGTTTCTCAAGTGAATTCCCCCCCCAAAAAAAAAAAAAAAAAATATACCAGCAAGATAATATTTTTGTGTATGTTCCAATAAATTATATCCATATGCCTACAAAACTCATTACCATTAATAGAGTTTGAATTAATATGAATGTTATTATTCATAACACTTTTAGGAAAACACTTGCCTTCTAATGCAGGGGTCTCTAAACTTTTTGGCCTGTGGGCCACATTGAGACCTCCAGCTAAGTCCCGTGGGCAAATGTTTGGGATGAAAAAAAATTTTCTATTTGGAAAAAATTCTATAAATGACACTTCAGCTGTGGAATGAGCTTTCAAAGAGAACGAAAACCATACAACTAAATGTTGTAGCAACCTCTTGTGTGAGTAATTTGCTTAATTTGGTATTTTTAAATAGTTTTTAAAATTTTACCAAGTAATCGAATAAACTTTCGTGGGCTAGATTGGAGGTGCTTGGGAGCCATAGTTTGGAGCAGAGATGGGCAAATTCTACTCTGAGTACTGAGTACGAAGTATTTTACTCAAATTGAATCACTATTGGGAATTCAATAACTACTTCAGTTAATCGTTTGACATCAACTGAAGTAGTAATTAAATTCTTAGGTAACCTAAAAAGGTCAGTGTTTGTGCACATATCTGTACAACCTTTTTTGATCAATTCTGAATATTTTTGAAAATGGATGTAACCGGTTTTGAAACTAAACGCCTCATTTATAAAAAAAAAAAAAAAATGAATTTTTTTTTTAAAACCATAACTGAAGTAAGCCAAAACTAATCTGGAGCAAATTGATTGATGTAAAACTGTAAGTTTGTAACTCAAGAAGGGCCAGTCCTCCTCATCTCTGCCAATCTTGGTTTTAAAGCAAAAGAAACTTGAAGTGCAAGAAAGCTATACATCAGGAGATAATAGTGAAGATTGGGACATACTAAAATAAATTAATAAAAAAACATTTCTAGGACTTATTGTACTTTGAAGACAATAAGTAATCATGAATTACATATATGAGTATATGATGAGATCTGAATTTGTTAAATAAATTAATTTGGAATGATTACTTGAATGGTATATATCGTTTAGCCGTGCCGAATTTATATGTGTTTATGAACCCTTCAACAGCAATAAACAGGTATTGAGCAAATGTTGCCATCGTTCCAGCTCCCGGATCACACCTAAAAAAGAAGTAATTAAAAATATAAAACTAATTTATTTAGTTATTCATTTTAATAGGTCTTTTGGCTAGATTTATTGTTAATTTATATGAAAAATACTGTTATTCTTAAGGGACCTAATCCCAGAATAAAGATGATTTTCTATTTCTATGTACGATTTAAAAAAAGTTGTCTACTTAAGCACAATAAATAAATAATTAGACATACATAGACAGAGAGTAAAAAAAATAAATGAACAAAGATGTTTGATTAAATATATATTTCATAAGTTTTTAACTAAGAAATACTATAGACTAAATTAATGGCACACAAACATTTTTAATTCATTAATGTATAATTTTTTTTAATTTAATGATATAAAACTAATTCTAATTCACTTTTCTATATATTAATGTATCCATCAATGAAAACAGATGAGATTTAGTCTAAATTTAATGTTAAAACATCTTGTTAAAGTTTAAAAGAGCCCAGATTTGTATATTTTGTTTGCAAGAATTTTTTTTTCAAGAGGGGTTAAAAATTAAAAACAAAATTATTACAAGAAATGGCAAATAAACTTAGTGTGTATATATGTATATATATATATATATATATATATATATATATATATATATATATATATATATATATACATACATATATATATATATGTCACATTATATTTAAAACAAATACTATGTTTCCCCACCCACAGGATCTATTAAATTTATACGTTTCCATCACTTTCTATTTCCTTTTACGATTGTATATAATAAATAATAATGGACGTAGATAAAAATAGATCTGTCGGAAAAATTCTGAGCTTCATCAGAAACATCTATCATGAAACTCATGATATTAACTCAAAAAAGTAGTTAATATTAGTAGATATTGTATATTATAGTTTTACATTAGATCCTCAACATTTCAAATGAAAATCTTTTTTGAAAATTATGAGTAAGTGAAATATAACAGTTAAACTAATAATATGAAAGCTCTGTATAGAGGGGTATTGTGGGCATTTTGTCTCGTTCATTGTCATTTTGGCAAGCAGTATTAGTTTGGTTGAAATATCTTTGTTAAGAAGTTCCCTAAAGTGCTGCAGTTCCATTGATGTAGGATAGTATTCTTTTCAGTTAAGAGCATACTATCTTCTTCTTTATACGATTTCATTGTCGATTTAAAAGCTGCTCTTCCTTCATTTACACACTGAAAGAACAAGCGTGTATCGCTAGATGCTCTAAGATGTTCTACATCCTCCAGTTGACTGCTTTCCCAGGCTCTCTTCTTTCTTTGATAGACCCTCTTCTCAACCCTTCTGCACTTCCTGTATGATTCGCAAGATTGTCTGGTGCGCCTCTGGATCATCTTTCCGTAGGCTTTATTTTTCTTAGCTGTCATTTCGCAGAATTCTTCATCAAACCAGCCTTTATGAGTTTCATGATAAATGTTTCTCCTTGTAAGAGGCACAGTATAACTTGTGCAGCAGTGTTTATGGCATGTGAGCATGCTTCCCACCTATTGTCTATGCTTTCACCAGCGCTACAGAGTGCAGTCATTAAGTTTATATCAAGCCTTGTTTGATACTAATCTTGTACTTCGGAGTCCTTTAGCGTTTCAGTATTGCAACACCCTCAGCTTTTCTCCCTTGACATTTTTGTAGTTGAGATCCTGGCTCTGATCTTTGCAACACTCATATAATGATCAGAATCAGCATTCGCTCCTCTGCAGAACCTCGAAATCAATCAAGTTTGACTTGTGGTTCACACTTATTAGTAGGTGGTCAATTTGGCTCTTGGTCCTTCCAATGGGTGATACCTATGTGGCTTGCTGGATTCTCATTTTCTTTAAAAAAAAAAAAAAACACCAATTATCAGTCCCTTCGATGCTGCAAAGTTAACCATTCTATGATGACAATCTATGGACAACTCGGACATACTGAAGGCCCTAAATGGTTGGTCTATCTGCCAGTTACCGTCCTACTTGTGCATTTAAGTTACGAAGGGGGAGTTTTACAACATTTTTAGGGGGCATTCATCAAGAGTTTTAGCCAGGTCGTTGTAGCATAAATCGTTGTCCTCATCGTTTTACACCTCAATAGGGGCATGGCAGCTAATTAAGCTATAATTGAAGAATTTACCTTTGATTCATATCTTGCAAATCCTAGTGTTTAAGGGAGTAAAGTTAGTAAAAAGTAGGCGTGTAGGTCCGAGTACTATAAACCCCATCCCAAAGGAGTGTTGAGAGTCATGACAGCTGTAGTATAATGTATGGTTCTTCTTTTCTATAATTCCCTTTACAGCACCTGATTTCCTGAATTGCTGGAATATCAATCTGGTAATTATCAAACTACGAAAGGAGCGCCCAAAAAGCTCATAATCTGTTCAAGGATAGAACGTTCCAAAAAGCTAGTTTTAAGTCGATGGTTCTTATGTCGTTTCCAAAAGATCAATCTGGCTTCATTACTTTTTTGATAAACTGGATTTAGAGGGAGTACGTCATCAGCCCAATGCCTCCTCTCAACCTCCTGACCTGCTATCCCAACATGAACGGATTCCTCGGGGAGGTGACCTTAAGGTATGTATGTGACATTTGCCTGTAATGTGGGGTTGTATATAATGTACTGTGTGTGAATGTCAGTATACTGTTCCCCCAACCTGGAGGGCCAGTGGCTGCCTGATGTCTGAAATTAAAAACTAACTGAAAACATGAACAAAGGGCAAATGGATTAGCAAGTAACATGTTCAACATTAAAATTAAGTATCAGATGCATTTTACTTTCACTTACATATACAAGTAACATATAGCGTAAAATTATGGAATCTGAGTTTTCAACATTAGCTCAATCTAAAGTACCTTTATTTTTCAAAATTTTAAATAACCATTTCATATTAACCTTTGATATAAAAATTAGTTAAATATAAAATATGAAAGAATTTCATAATTAACTAAAGGAGAAATATGAGATCATAACGGATAATAGTTTTAATGGAAGAACCAAAGGAATACAAAAGCCCCGAGCTCACCAGGAAGGTTAGAACAGGCTTCCATAAGTAACATGAGCTTAATATAATACCAACTCCAACAATATAATGTAAATATACATATGCGGTTGTCATAAATGCTATCGTTGGTATTATTCAATATTTAATTGTACAGATTACAGTGATATAAAAATTAAAATTTGTATATAAAAGAGTAATTAAACAAACAAAAACATCCACATCAAAATGAAAATCAATATAACATCTTTAATAATTTTAACTTCCACTTCTCCTATGTCTTAAAATACTTATTTCTGCTAAGAGGGTGGTAAGTGAAAGTTGTGTGATGCATGCACAACAGTTTTTACCTTCAGATATCAGCAGCCGGAAATGAACTTACAATTGCAGTCTGGAATTTCATCTTTAATGTTGGGTTTCATTTTTAAATTTACTTAACCGAAATGGTCAAAATATGCTACTATGCAAATTAATCATCAAGGTACGTTAAGATATTTGACAAACTATGGGAAAGACAATTATCTAATTTAACCAAGAGTGGGATTAGCACTACATCCAAGTTTTTTAAAAATTTCTCTTCTTACCAACAGCAGGAGGAAAATATAAAAAACATTAGCCTAGGTAAAAAGCATTTAAATAATTTTGTTTCTCAATAGTTTGTGAACTGTCAAAACACACCTTGAAATACACAATACAAAATTTGAATAATTACATTTAAATACACTGATTCAAAGTGATATTTTAGAAGCAGTTTAAAAACTCAATGCAATTGCTTAAAAATCAAGGCTCAGCTTATGAACTACTACAAATAAAAACTATGTGTGTAATAAAACAAAAATCACAAAACAGTGAAAATTGCAAATGAAGATTTATAATAACATGTACATAAAATGTACACATCTTAAAAAACTTACTTAACCAAATACTCCAAAAATAAGGCATTCAGGCAACAGCCTAAAAAAACACCAGCTATCGCGACAGCTATACTTTTAAAATTTCTCGGAAGTCTCATTATTTTATTTGTAGTATAAAGTTAACAAAACGAAGTTTCATACATAAAACGAGTAATGAAAAATATTCAGTACAATTGAGCAATTTATACCCTTATCGTTAATTGAATGTTTTTTAAATATTGTCGTTCAATAATGAACGTTCTAGATGTGCACGTGTTTGACAAGTAGAAACAAGCCGAGGAAGCAATTAAAAGGACTTGTAGAAAAAGATATTCTGTTGTTAAGTCATAATTACTCTCAAACTAAGAAAATCGTGAATTTTTACAAGATAAAACTTGGAAACTTCATTGAGAGAATGGACAGATTAAACAAAAAAACAAAAAATAAGTAAACATAAAACATATAATTTGAAATTTTTGAATATATGTAGGCATACAATGCTTTTCCTCCATTAGATGATTTTCTTGCTTTTTGAGAAAACTTTAGAAACCAATAAAACGTTCTCGAGACCGGTGTTGATCCCATTGAATCAAATACATATAGAGCTGTTTTCAAGTCTTTAACGTCGTGGTGCAGTTATGTTCTCATTACCCACCACTTTTGTACTTACATTGTCTGCTAGCACATATGAGTTCCTCAAATTTCAAGATATTTTAACTTATTTTTCAAGTATAATCGAAAAAATAATTATTCTCAAGCTAAAACATTGTATATATTAGTCATTATAAAATATAAGTGAAATAATTCAGCGTAAAAATGACATTGTATTTAGAAATCCACTTGCAAAATAATAACTGCTAGAAATATTTTGGGAGAAAGTAAGGAATATTACAGGTATTAAAAGTGCAATGAGCTAATAAAGCATTTGAATTTCAATAAATACACACAATAAATCATAGATTATATGATAAATAAAAAGAAAAACACTAGCTAAATTTACAAAGCCCTCAGACAAAATTAAATTATTTACTGTCATTTGAAAGGTATTTTTTTTAGGTTTTGTCTCACTTTTTGTCTTTCAATATTCTGATTTTTTAAAAGTCTTTTAATTCTTATTTTAAAATTAAATTTCGTACACGCCTTTTTCAACTTCATAAACTTACCGAGAACTTACAGTTGAGCCATGATTTTCCAAAGACAGTTCCTGTCCACAGAATCATAAGCTGCTTTGAAATCGACAAATAAAGTATTGACATCCTGAGCTATTTCCCATCGTTTTTGAGTACTTGTTTTAGGACGAAGATCTGGTCTAGCGGGCTCCTTCCTTTTCTGAATCCAGCTTGGTGGTCTCCTGCTATATTTTTGTAAAACGGATATATCCGGTTTAGTAGGATATTGGTCATTAACTTGTAGGCAACCGGAAGGAGTGCTATGCCTCTGTAATCACTATACTCATAAATAAAGCCTTTCTTTAGGAAAAGGAAGATTAGGCCAGTATTCCAAGCATCTGATATCCTTTCGTCCTCCCACATTTTTTGGATTAGTTGTAGTAACTTGGCTCTTAAGTCTTCCCTCCTATCATTAAACAGTTATGATGGTAGGTTGTTAATCCCTGACGCCTTTCTTGTTTTGAGCCTTTCAATAGCTATTTCTACATCCAGTATTTCTGATTTTTCAACCCCTTCTCGATCGAGGTCCTCAGTGTGGCCTATTGTCTTCTTCGTTCGTGCCTCCCCTTGATTAAGAAGCTTCTGGAAATGTTCTTTCCAGATGCTCTATATCTTTTTTTCAGAATTCCAGGAAAGTCAGGCTCGAAAAAATGGCTCCCTACCAAAGTGCAAGAATCGTATGATGTCAGGGAAGGTTCTAGATGAAATAAGGCATTGTTCTGGGAGCAGAGAGTGCCCCGTGCACTTGTCAAATAAAGAATAAAGATGGACCCGCTAGACTTAGTGGCGACCACTAGTGGATCCAGGATTTAATTTTGGGGAGGGCTTCAGCCCGAAAGCTTTTTTTTTTTCATATATATATATATATATATATATATATATATAAAACGATAATTACTATGGAAGAAGAGAAAGATACTAACTACCTATATGAAATGGTGTTTAAGTGATTCTTGAAGTCCTATTAAAGGTAATTACACGAACAATAATACTTCAAGAGATTATTTTTTACTATAAAACATGGTTACATTTTACTATTTTGGAGGGAGGGAGTGGGAGGGGGAGAGGCTTCAGCCCAAAAGCCTCCCCGTAGATCCGCCTGTGGTGGCGGCATTGGTTCTACGCTCTTAATGAGGAACGGTCCTAGTGGTTTCTGAGGGCTCGACTGAAAAGAGAATATGAAGGCACAGTCCCACCATGGAAGATGCACAGCTGTGCACTGGACTGTTCCACAGGAAAACCCTGTTTTTATTGTTCTTAGAAAAAAAACTTATCCTAGAGCATGTATAAAATCAAGAACAATAACAAATAAAACGAAAATAAAATAATGGGTGGCAGTGGTATGCGCACCACCCCACTGTTGCTGAGAGCCCCTTATGCTAGAAATGGCTAGGTAGGGGAATAAAAAAAAAATAAAATTATGCCATCAGAATTTTTTCTTTTCCCCGCATTTGCGTATATTTCTCTATATATCGTACCCTTTCTTTCCTAATGTCTGTGTAAAATTCGTGTATATCTCCGGCCTGCTGGTTGTCCTCAATGGTTTGCACTCTTTCTTTGGTTAAATCCCTTTTTGCCGATTTTATAATTTCGTTTGCTTTTTTCTTGGCGGCTGTGTACATGTCCAGAGTAAATTGATCAGTTGTGAATAGACTTTCATTTTTCTTGTTTCCTCTCCTACCCTTTCACTTACTTCTGAGAACCATATCTTAGCTTTTCGCTTCTCCTGAATACCTATCACTTCTTTAGGTTTTATACCTCCTTCTTTTCATTTGATCCTCTATTTTGTGAATTTGTTTCAGCCACTAAAAAAAACCTGTACAACTACAAACCATGAAGGGTCTAGGGTGCAGTACTATGTGAGGAAGTACTGTTTCAAGGCCAACGGTTGTGCGGGGAGGTGATGGGGCAGATATCACGCTCAAACGCCAGGTTTTTCCCCTTAATTATTTATTTAATTAAGGGTAGCCCCTTTATAGAGTCTGGGTGTGCTCCAGGAGGGTCTCCCGATCCCAGGATCGATCCACGGCTAATGAAAAATTACTAGTCATTAAGCTGGATTCGAACCCAGGACCTTGAACTCTGGAACTCAGTGCTCACCCACTGAGCAGCCCCGCTCCCCTTTTCAGCCACTAATAGTTCGTATATAGAGTATAGTTCAAAACACAGGCGGCTCTATGATAGCTCAGTACGTCTTGAATGGAGGTTTCTTGTATCTTATCTACTAGTACCTTGTGAATTTGTTTTTTCATAACTTTTTTTGGTTTTTATGATGTGAAAAGTATTTTATGATTTGTTGAGAAATGAAAACGAATGTTTTAGCCATAAGTATTTTATTATAAACAGTACATTACAGAGTGTGAAGGTTAACAGTAGCCATGCTGTTCCAAAATGAAGCCATACTGAAGGTTACTAATAAAGTCTTGGGCAAGGTTGAGACAACAAAAAGTACACCCAGGTTTGACGTTGATTTTCAAGCTGTGACGGATGTCAAAAATATTGGGTACAAGATAATTATCTAAAGAAGGCACACTTAGAGGTCAGTATAATTGTTTAGAGAAAAACGCTTTGAGAAGAAACTCCACAAACATAAGAAGAGGAGATGGTATCGTGAAAATCATGCTCAAATGGAGCAGAGTAGAAGGAGAAATGATGCACGAAAGCTCTATCAACTCGCCAACATTACTCGGAAACTATTCAAACCTCGAGTGAGTACAAATGAGTGAGTACAAAGTAGAAATGAAGATGGAACTTTACTGATAAACAAGGAAAGCGTCCTTAACAGATGGAAGAAACACTTCTATTCTTTACTTGAGGGTGGCGATGGAGTAGAAAGCGATGGTAAAGAAATGACAAGAAAGGAACTAGAGCCCCCGGATGAAGATGAGGTACAAATAGCCATGTATGAATTAAATAACAACATGGCTCCTGGATAACAACAGATAAGCTGTCTGCGGAAATGTTTAAACGCCGAGGTGAAGAACTTTTGAGGTCCCTGCCCAATCTTTTCATCGACATGTAATAGAAGGAAGAATTGCTGAGCGAATGGTAAGAAATTATTGTATGTCCAATATACAAAAAAAAAGAAGACATTAGTATGTTTTATCTCGTAATTGCCCTAATTACCGAGGAATATCGCCGCTTTCGAGTGCATACAAAATTTTCTCAAGAATTCCGTTGATTTTTATGCTCGAAGAGAAATAGGTCGCTATCAAGCAGGATTCTTGGCAGGGTAGTATACCACTTATCAAATTTTCTCCTTCAGAATCTTACGAGAAAGAGCATTCGGAATCAGCACCAATCATCTTTTTATAGATTTCAAGATGGCATATGGCAGTGTTTCAAAGGAGGAGCTATAAGAGATTGCTAGAGATAGGGATCTCACCGAAACTAATATTACAATCATAAAGGGCCAGACTGGGGATTACTGGGCATCCTACTTTTTAACTTCAGCCTGATATGTACAGTACGGAGATCCAACATCCAAGTCGGAGGAACAGTACTCAATTTATCTGCTGTGATCCCAGAATTTGCAGACGACGTTGATGTGAATAGGAGATCTATTGGAGAGATGAGAGATGTCTTCCTAGACCTACAAAGAGAAACGGCAAGAATGGGACTCGCCAATAATGAAACAAATATAAATACATGCTTGAAAATCTTATTGGCGTAGGTCAGCGGGATTGTCAGGTGCATATTTGCCACTGTAGTTTTGAGAGAGTTGAAGAATTCACTTATGTTGGAACCCAGGTGAACTTCAGAAACAATATCAATCCTGAAATCCATATGTGAATAATGGCTGCGAAAGGAAAGCGAGGATATTCGTCGATAATTGTGAGAAGGTAAAAGTTGCGTGTCTCGGATGGGATTGGTCCTTTAAAGTGTGTAGTAATAAACGAGAATTCATTTTCCTGTCATTATCAAGCGAATATGGTAAATTCTTACTCTAA